TGTTGGGGTTTTTAGGGTGTTTTGGGATTTTGTAGGGTGTTGTTGGGTTTTTTATAGGGTGTTGTTGGGGTTTTTAGGGTGTTGTTGGTTTTTTTTAGGGTGTTTTGGGGTTTTTTAGGGTGTTTTGGGGTTTTTTTAGGGTGTTGTTGGGGTTTTTAGGGTGTTTTGGGGGTTTTTAGGATGTTGTTGGGGTTTTTTAGGGTGTTTTGGAGTTTTTTTTAGGGTGTTGTTGGGGTTTTTTAGGGTGTTTTGGAGGTTTTTAGGGTGTTTTGGAGGTTTTTATGGTGTTGGGGTTTTTAGGGTGTTGGGGTTTTTAGGGTGTTGTTGGGGTTTTTAGGATGTTTTGGGGATTTTTAGGATGTTTTGGGGTTTTTTAGGGTGTTGTTGGTGTTTTTTAGGGTGTTGCTGGGGTTTTTTAGGGTGTTTTGGGTTTTTTTAGGGTGTTGCTGGGGTTTTTTAGGGTGTTTCGGGGGTTTTTAGGGTGTTTTGGGGTTTTTTAGGGTGTTTTGGAGGGTTTTTTAGGGTGTTTTGGTGTTTTTTAGGCTGTTGTTGAGGTGTTTTAGGTTGTTTTGGGGTTTTTTAGGGTGTTTTGGGGTTTTTTAGGGTATTCGGATTTTTTAGGGTGTTTTTTACGGTGTTTTGGTGTTTTTTAGGGTGTTGTTGGGGTTTTTTAGGGTGTTGTTGGGGTTTTTAGGGTGTTGGGGTTTTTTAGGGTGTTGTTGGTGTTTTTTAGGGTGTTGTTGGGGTTTTTAGGGTGTTTTGGGGTTTTTTAGGGTGTTGTTGGTGTTTTTAGGGTGTTTAGAGTTTTTTTTAGGGTGTTGTTGGGGTTTTTTAGGCTATTGTTGGGGTGTTTTGGGGTGTTTTGGGGTTTTTTAGGGGGTTTTGGGGATTTTTAGGGTGTTGTTGGGGTTTTTTTAGGGTGTTGTTGGGAGTGGAAAAACAGGGAAAAGGTTGGGGGTGGTTTAGGGTTGATTCCGGAATGTTTTCCCGGAGATGTGGGGGGAGGTGAGGGAAGGGAATTGGGAGCCAGGAAAAGCAGATTTCCTTGGGAATTCCATACAGGAAAACAGATTTCCTTGGGAATTCCGTACAGGAAAACAGATTTCCTTGGGAATTCCGTTGGGAAAAACAGATTTCCTGGGAATTCCATTGGGAAAAGCGGATTTCCTGGGAAATGTAGGGCAAGGAAAAACAGATTTCCTGGAAAATTAGGAACCAGGAAAAGCTGATTTCCTGGGAAATTAGAGGCAAGGAAAACCAGCTTTTCTGGGAATTTGGGGTGAGGAAAAGCAGTTTTCCAGGGAAACTGGAAATCAGGAAAATCAGCTTTCCTGGCAAATTTGGAATGAGGAAAAACTCAGGGAAATTTGGCGCCAGGAAAATGAAATTTCCCAATTTTCTGGCTCCGTTTTGCGGGATTTAATTGGGATCAGCTCCACTCTGGAGCTTCCAGGACAGCCCTGGGATAACCCAGGATCCGGGAATTCCGTAGGATGCGGTGAATTGGTTGGGATACACGTACCTGTACATCCGGATGCTCCGCTCTCCGACGCTTTACGGAATTTCCCACGAGGATCTGAAATCGGATCCGCTCCTGGAGCAGCGACGCCTCGACCTCGTCCACACCGCGGCGCTGATGCTCGATAAGAACAACCTGGTGAAGTACGACAAGAAAACCGGGAATTTCCAGGTGGGATGGAGGAAAAAAATTGGGAATTTTTGGGTGGGATGGAGGAAAAAAATTGGGAATTTTTAGGTGGGATGGAGGAAAAAAATTGGGAATTTTTGGGTGGGATGGAGGAAAAAAATTGGGAATTTTTAGGTGGGATGGAGGAAAAAAATTGGGAATTTTTAGGTGGGATGGAGGAAAAAAATTGGGAATTTTTAGGTGGGATGGAGGAAAAAAATTGGGAATTTTTAGGTGGGATGGAGGAAAAAAATTGGGAATTTTTAGGTGGGATGGAGGAAAAAAATTGGGAATTTTTAGGTGGGATGGAGGAAAAAAATTGGGAATTTTTAGGTGGGATGGAGGAAAAAAATTGGGAATTTTTAGGTGGGATGGAGGAAAAAAATTGGGAATTTTTAGGTGGGATGGAGGAAAAAAATTGGGAATTTTTAGGTGGGATGGTGAGAAAATTGGGAATTTTTAGGTGGGATGGAGGAAAAAAATTGGGAATTTTTAGGTGGGATGGAGGAAAAAAATTGGGAATTTTTAGGTGGGATGGAGGAAAAAAATTGGGAATTTTTAGGTGGGATGGAGGAAAAAAATTGGGAATTTTTAGGTGGGATGGAGGAAAAAAATTGGGAATTTTTAGGTGGGATGGAGGAAAAAAATTGGGAATTTTTAGGTGGGATGGAGGAAAAAAATTGGGAATTTTTAGGTGGGATGGAGGAAAAAAATTGGGAATTTTTAGGTGGGATGGAGGAAAAAAATTGGGAATTTTTGGGTGGGATGGAGGAAAAAAATTGGGAATTCCTGTGGTTTATCCTGGGAATTCCTGTGGTTCATCCCAACCGTTCCGCTGTTTTCCCGATGGTTCCGGCTGTTGTCCTGACTGTTCCCGCTGTTATCCCG